TGTTGTAATCTTTTTGAGATTACACACAGAGTGCTTTGCAAATAATCCTGTCTACATGTGCATGAAGAATAATTCTCAAGTAATAAAGAATTGAAACATTCCGTTAGTCACGAATTGAAATGGGATGTTTGTTGGGTTTGGATTTTGAAGTAGCTTTCTTTTCCAATAGATCTACTCCCAATGGGTATTGCTGATTTTGCTTAGCAAGTCAGATTTCAGAATCTTAATCCAATATCATTAACTTCTCATTATAATCCATTATCATGAACTTTTCTATAGCGTTGCTTCATCCTTCTGCATTCATGAGGGATATCCTTTCGAATTGACTGACTTCTTATTCTTTCCTGTTTCAACCACACGAATTCCTCGAAAGAGCACCAAGTAGACGATGTTTACGAGGGACTGTACGGATTCTGAACTGATTTTATCAATCATAAGGGATCTAAAAGTTGACCAGTTTATCTTTCCAGCTATTTTATCTTCTGTAGCCACCCCACCGAGGATTTCCTCAAGCTGTTCTGATCCTCTGCATCATACAATCACCTTTTCAAAATCCAAACTGTCTGCGTTCATCGTTCGTTTGTAATCGCAGGCGATTACATTAGGTCTTTTCTTTTTTTTTCGAGAGTTGCTGTGTTCATAAAACATTTTTGATGTCATCACTTTATTGATTTTGACAATTTGATCGGTGTGATTCAGTTGTGTTTATTCAAACGTTCGCTTGGTGCATGCATGCATCTCTTCTTGTTGTTACACTGAACTTTTATTGAAGAATTTGCGTGTATTTCATGATAGTAGTCATTTTTTGATATCATTAAGTACCCATTAAATCACTACATAAATTTTTTGTCAGTAGTCCTTAATTTGCTCATATACTGGTTTGTACTATCGCAAGCTATAATTGCTAACAAATCAACGTGACGAATGTTAAATTCCCTTCATGTTCTGTTGCTTTCCACTAGTTTCATCTACTAACCATCCTTCAAAGCGTATATTCTATTGGTTTCGTCCTTCAGGTGAAATTATGCATACACCGGAATATCATTTTCAAAACTGTATGCGATTCTGCACGATACTGTTCCTGATTTTTTCGTGTAGGGTACATGAGCACTAACGTTTGCAAAAAAATTCCATGATGCAATATTATTAGGTGTTTCCTGATGATTCTATGTTTAATACTTCGAAAAACTATTTGAGAGTAGATGTACTCTTGGAACGGAACATTTTATGTATCGAGAAGTTGTTGATGTTCATCGATGAGTATATTGTATGGTGCAGTGGATGTCCTACATTTGTTCTCATTCCATACGGTGAACAACATCTTGCACTGTCTGAGAGCAAAAGTGAACGGAAAGCAGACTCTTCAGCCAACATCAAATTTCATTGCCTTGCAAGCCAGGAACAGCTGTGAATGCAGATAACTCACTGTTATCCGAGCAGAATTATTCTCAAGTCTATGTCATTGCTCAAGATTTATATTGTATGTTCGTAGTCACACTCAACTTTCATTGAGTTATGCTTTAATGATCACACCACAAAATTCACTAACAATCGAATTTCTCATCTTATATTATTCTCGTTCTGGAAAATGTATTGATACCGGAACATTGTTATGCCGAAGTCTCAATTTAAAACTTTCTTATTTATTCGAGCAAGTGAAGGATTTTTATACTTCTGGTTGAGAGCAAACATTTTACACTCATAAATGTTAGCAAGTCCTTTAAAATGAACAGCCAGACTGATTTCTTAAAAAAAACCAGATGTACTGCTTTGAGCTTCACAAACCATTCGAGCAAGTGCAAGCAGCTCAATGAAATGCTTCATTGAGCCGAGCTGCTTCCAACAACTTCAAACGATCATTTTGATAATGGAAGCGATTTCATGCGATAATTTTCTGCTTATTACTTTAATGAGGCTTCGTAAACTTAAAATAATAGCAACGGATTGGTTTGGGAATAATTTCGTAAAATTATTGGTTGTAATGGTCGAGTACGATTGTGTGTCCTTTCTACGTGCGATTTTCAACTCGTTCGAATTGCAATACATTATGCGCCGTCACATACGATTGCCATTGAATGCTAACAGAGATAATTGTTGAAGAGGGACACAGGCATGCTTTCACGAGCACTTGCACCCGCAAAACGCTGCTTCTCGACAAGTCCGGCACTGCTCAGGATTGTGCCTGGTAGTTTAGTGGAACAAGAATGTGGATATCCAATCAAAGGCAAGAAAACCGTACTCAGCGATATCAAAAATGCCTTCAACGGTATCAGATCAGGTACGAGTCGTAGTAATTCACTTGTTTTAGTGGTTTATTCGGTGTTGCATCAGTCACTGAAATTAATTTCGGGCCGTATAGATCATAGAATCCTCTGTTATGTCATGCTCGTAGAGATTAAGTTGATGTATTCTGATGCAGAACAGAGTCCTTGTGCTTGTGATATTGAGAAAGTCATATGAGTTGATCCCATTCAATTGTATTAATGCAATCGCTTGCTGGAGTCATCCTTATTACAACTGATATTGATATTTCGCCTTTATGAATATGATCAGAACATTCAGTCATGAATAATAACCAGTGATTCTTCCAGCTAGATGAAGTTATTAATGAGATTGTTTGTGATGATTTTTGCTTTTGCTTATTTTCATAGTTCAGGTGACAATATTTTCATTCACGGTATTGCGGCAACCCCTACACCGCTGTTATTCGGACTGTGCGATTATGCAAAAGCGAACGATCTTAAGGGTATAAAACTGCATCATTTACATTTGGAAGGACCAACGCCATGGACTGCTGAGGATATGAAACGTGTGTTTTCTTTTCATAGAGTTTTGTAATACTTCAGAATCCTGCGATATTCTCGCAGCCAAATTCAGAACATTTACAAGTTCTCGTCATCATTCCATGTGCTTATGGAACACGAATGAATCGCATGAAGCTTGAAATTTGAAATTTCCGCTATTAAAAAGTTGCCCAATACAAGGAGTATCAGTAAGCTTCACTGTATCAGATCAGAATAAAAAATGACAGATGATAAGTAAGATTTGGTGTTTCAGATAGAATCCGTTCGAACTCCCTCTTCACTGGTGGTAACTTGCGTAAGGCAGTCAACGATGGTTAGTTCGAATCATTTAATGCTTTGCACCGTTTGAGCTGATTTTTCAAAGTTGAACTATGGATTTGTCAATCTCTCAACTGAATTCTGAATCTGCACCTTAGTAAATGAATAAGTTTTCAGGCACAGCTGATTTCAACTCGACATTCCTCCACGAAGTTCCACTTCTTTTCCGAACCGGTGCGATTAAACTTGACGCTGCGATTATTCATGTGAGCCTCTCTAATGGCTTAAGTCCTAAGAACATTGATAGTTGTTAAGAAATACTTACAGTTAGCTGTCAATTCATTTATATGCTGATGTTTCGTTAGCATTCATTGCGTTAACTTGAACAGTGCATGGCAGGGAACTAAATGATTTCCGGCCTTATGATAGCAATTTTATGATGGTTCTCGCACTTATGATAAATCGTGAGTGAGGTAGTAGTTCAGGTTTCTCCTCCAGACGAGAATGGTTTCTGTTCATTGGGTACCAGCGTTGACACGGCATGTGCTGCAGTAAAGCAAGCCAACCACATTATTGGTTCGTTGCTTACTTATCTCGTGATTATATCTCATTATCAATTAAATAACTGCTTGATGAGCGATTCCTTAAAAAATCATCTTCCCAGCTGTTCCATAGGTTCCGAATGAAGCAGCATTCATGTCGTCAAATATAAAGACTTCAGTATATGAGCTAGTACTGCTCGATCGTCTACAGCCTATAGGGTCTGAGTACAAATATCTACCTGAGGCAAACCTTGAAACGATGATTTCAAAAGCCATACCAAAAAACTTATCATTGGTGGTATGTATGTTAAACACGAGAAATTGCGTTCAATTCGGTACTTCTGAATCGCTCTCATTGTTCCAGCAATGACCAACAAGCACATGCCACGAACATTCGGCGACTCAGTAATTCACCAGTCACACATCGATGTTATGATCGAGCTGAACGACCACCCTCTCCATGAACGACCAGTGGGTGGACCGGCCTCACCTGAGGAGATGAAAATTGGTAAAATTATCGCCGATAACTTGGTCGACAATGGTGCCACACTTCAGATGGGTGAGTGCTCAGTCACTTGAGTGCAATTCTGAAGTTTCAGGCTGAGAAATTTCATCAGATGCACCCCAATGAACAACACTAAGCAATGCTTGGTCGAAACGATAGTTTCATGTGATCACAGATGTTCTGAATGAAATTTTGGTCACCTTCCGTATTCACTTATCACATTTGTTCCGTTCGAAACATCGCATTCAATCTCAAACGAACTCACCAAATCAGAAGACGAATACACTGACGAGTGCACACTATTGGGTTTACGAGTTGGAAATATTGAACTGATTGATTATTTAAGTTGATCGCGAGTATATTCCTACTTCAGGTATTGGTGCTATCCCGGATGCAGCATTGGCTGCTATGGGTGATCATAAAGATTTGGGTATTCACACTGAGATGTTCTCGGATGGCGTATTGGATTTGGTTGAATGTAACGCTATCACAAACGCCAAGAAGCCACTCCATCCGGGCAAGGTCAGTCAGTGCAGTGTTTCAATGATGGGTGCGCTAAATTTCACGGATACTCGTGTTCTTTGATGTACATTGAAGCTTATTTTTTACATTCCAAGAGTTAAATTCATGGCTGACTGTCTCTTCTGAATTGCTTTAATTATAAACTTTAAACTTCATTTTGAGCTTCGTTTAAATGGCGATGTCCTTCAAAGTTTTTTGAAAAGATCGTATATATGATCTGGAGTTGCTTTAGATGGTTGTATCATTCGTTTATGGAACGAAGAAGCTGTATGATTTCTTGAACGATAACGTGAGTGTGATGTTCGGTGATGTGGCTTGGGTGAACGACCCAAGTATCGTTCGAACGATGCCCAAAATGACAGCAATCAATTCAGCTGTCGAAATCGATCTCACTGGACAGGGTCCGTTAGGGGTTTTCTCATCCATTCACCTGACATTACAGGGATTTTGTATGAACGATTAGCTGTTTCTGATTTATTTTAGAAATTGGAGTTCTTCCACTAGCTAAGATTGAGAATAGGAACAAATGTTCTTGATAGTGTTTTGAGAGAT